CACACAAAAGGCAAAAGGAAGGCGAGAAAAAACAAACGGGAATACGTAGAAAAGCAAGGTCTTTAAGCTCAAGAAGAAGCAAACAAAAACGACTTAAGAGAATTGTATTAGATCACACCAAAAAGACTGGTTGGCGGGTGCTCTGGTGTGGTCTGCTCCTTTTTGTCAAACATCTATCGTCCTAATCATTCCTCCTTTTTTATGTTTGTTACTGTCTTGCAACATCTCTAATCTTCGGCACTCCTATGACCTTATGGCTTATGGTGTTGCAAGTGCCGTAAAACTCTTACTATTAAAACAAAAGACTGGCTGGAGACTGAAAACTTCTCGGAGGGACCAGAAAAAAAGAAAGGGATCGAAGATGGCGACATGGCATCTGCTAGCCCAAAACATAAAAATGATTGATGGGCACAATATTTTCAAGAGATTTCAAACAGACCACCCCACCGACTTATGTTTTGAGAATGCCAGAGACAAGATTGCCATAGATTCAGATGGTATTGGAGACCAACTGGAAAAAGAAGAAAAGGTAGACCAGCTGGAAGTTACAGAGGTACCATCGATGATGAGGCAATCAGTCATAGCCTAGTAGATGAGCCAAGGTTTTTAGTTTTAGTAAGGTTTTACGGACGTCGCAACTTCAAAAGGTCATAATAATATGAGCGCCAAAGGGTGGACGTCAACAGAGAAGTCCAAACGCGGAATCAGACTTACTCTGCTCACCTCTCTAGCCTGAACAGCAAAAAGTCTGCTTCGACTATCAAGGCACCCCGGGAATAGCAGTTCACAAGAGAGTGACAAACTTACAAAAGAAGTAGGGGAAAAATGACGATAGTAAGGATGAGGAAAGAAAAAGCACCAGTTCCTCCTCTGTTGTTCCCACACAGTATGAGCATGACATTGATAACTCAGCCCATTTACAATTCTACTATGCATAAGAACATTTAATATCCCCCGACCCCCTTTGGGAATGGCTTAAAGACACTTCAGTCAATGGCATTGCCCTAGGGGGGAAGGGGGGAGGGGGGGGGGGTGCCAAGGTTGATGGAGGTGACCAGGGACAAGACAAGTGTGGCGTCGACTGCTCTCTGTCTTCTGTGCGAGTATCTGACGAGAGAGAGAGAGAGAGAGAGAGAGAGAGAGAGAGAGAGAGAGAGAGAGAGAGAGAGAGAGAGAGACAGACAGACAGACAGACAGACAGACAGACAGACAGACAGACAGACAGACAGACAGACAGACAGACAGACAGACAGACAGACAGACAGACAGACAGACAGACAGACAGACAGACAGGCAGAGACAAAGAAAGAGAGAGAGAGAGAGAGAGAGAGAGAGAGAGAGAGAGAGAGAGAGAGAGAGAGACAGAGAGACAGAGACAGAGACAGAGACAGAGAGATAGAGAGAATTATATGCACTTCTCCGTTCATGGGTGAGCTGTGAACTCAGTTGGTACCATGCGAGCTTTGGTGTGATGCGGATAGGGGGAGGGATGGGAGCAGAGGGGAGGGAGGAAAAAAAAGCGACAGAGGTCAAATAATAATAGGCTATACGTCTGATACTGATAGCCATCCCCTCCCTTCCCGGCCTATATAATATGGAGAGCAAAAAGCAGCGGCAATGACGTACAGTGCGCAGTCTAGGATTTTATTACAGAGTAATTCTATGGAGAGTCTGTAATCCAAGCGCAAACAGACAGATACTAGATAGGAATTAGAGCCAGGGAAGAGAAGAAACATTATATTTTATATCAGGCTACTGACAGTTACCAGGGTATAACTATCACCATGGCCCGCCCATTAGCAGAAATTGATAATATAGAGATCTAATGCCTATAGATCTATGTATGTACTGGATGAGGTAACCTTTACGAAATAAAGCAGGTAATATTATCATAAACTTGAAAGGTCAACAATAATTAGCTCGAGTTCGTTGTTCTGAGATCAGGTCAATAAAGTAACACAACAACAACAACAACAGCAACAACAACAACAACAACAGCAACAACAGCAGTAGCAACAACAACAATAACAATTAATAATGTATAAATAAGTAAATAAATAAACTAATGAATAAAGATCGGCTAAAATTATGCTCAATTAAGCAACGCCTTTATAAATTCTTTTGAAGAATCTGTGAGAAACTTAGGTGACACAATCTGTAGTAGGCCTACTTAGTAGGCAGGCCTCTGTTTTACTGTTGTGGACGTTTAACCTGTATAAGCACCTGTGGCCTGTGTGTTTTTCTTTCCTTTAGGTTGCATTAATTTACACACACACACACACACACACACACACACACACACACACACACTCGCGCGCGCACACACACACACACATAATATAAGCGCACGTTTTTCATTTATAAAGCTTTAGTCGGAGTTCTAATTGACTGCGACAGTCTTTTCCATCTGAAAGAAAAAAAAGCAACATTCTATCGAATTCATTATTTACTTGAGTTGAGAAAAGTTGAGCCCTAATTTTTCAGTTTTCTTTAACGAACGAGAACTCCTTCAGGTTTTCCTGTGCCATGCTCATTAATATTCATTAATACGCCGCCATCTTGAAGCTTGAGCAGTGCATGGCGGTACTGAACAGGGATTTTTGGGTAAGTTTTCCCAGTGTTCATTGTTGTTCTGAGTTCCTGGGGTGCTGAGAGAGCTGTGTCTCAAGGCACCCGTACTCTGAACATAACGGTACACCCGTCGTGAAGTCAATTAACGTCAACGCGAATCGCATTTTGTATCAATAATGTCTAGGTTTCGCCATTTCAATTATTGCCTTTCTTCCGACTATGCCGCCATTGTCCCCAGTCCCCACTAGAGAATGAAAAGGCGAGATTCAGACAGTCTTTCCCCATCCCTGTTCCTGTTCGACCTGAGCAGAGGCCCACATCATGTTCATACGTTAGTAATTTGTTTTAAAACCAGACAATAATCGGAATAGTTACAGGTTTTGGGACGAAGAATTTGCTAAACTGGTTTTCGATTTTGACCCAGATCTGCCCTGAAATTTTCGTAGCTCATGGGAGAGAACTTTCCTCCCAACTCCACTGAATGGGCAGTGCTACACCAGTGTAGTATAGATATCTCTAGATAGATCTAGATCTAAATCCAGATCTAGATTCTAGATATCTAGATCTAGTATAATAAAATTAAAGGAATAGATCTAGATCTTATAGATTGTATTATTTAGCCTACTTTCTTTTTTCCCCTTTGTTTGGTGTAAGTAATTCCAGTAGTTTTGGGAGTTTAAATCGGTGATCTTGTTTTGTGAAGCGTAAGTATGGGGAAAAGGCAAGCTTTTCATTGTTTATCAAAACGCAAAGAAAGAACGAAGTAAAAAGATAATTTTTAACTTGATTGTCTCCATTTGAGTAGTTTTTTAAGTCCAATCAGTCGCGGTATAAATAATTCTTCGCATGTTTTGTGGTGTCACTGCACTGTTTGGAATTTCTTTAATGACACGGGTCAAGTCTTTTATTCTTTCAAATTCTTGGTTCTCTACTACGGCAACTGTACTGTATCTTTATTTTACGTAAGAGTCTTTGTATTTGTCTAAAATCATTTTTGGGGAAAATATGCATGCTTTCTTCCTTGTTGACAGAACAGAAAGCCGATTGATTATTTCAATAATTTTTTACTTTATCATGTTTGCTCCTGTGAACGTCTATCACGTACGAAGTTCCCAGAAATCAGGTCTTTTTCACTGAAAAAAACTTTTAAAATTTTAAATAAAAATTTTTTCAGAAATCAGAAGGGTCATTTCTCTTAAATTCAAAGAACTGAAAAGTTTCTCTTCTGTCAAATTCCTGAAAAGAAATTTTTTTAAAGAACCAAATATAAAAGATTACCTCCACGATAATGAAGCTCTGCACTTTGCAAAGACAAAAAATCGGAAGTTTTGTAGCCTTCGTTATATATTTTTCAGCTAGGAATTTATAAAGCACTTGACAAACTTTTATTGCCTTTTGAAGACAAAAAAAAAGAATTTATTATTTTTTAAAAATTGTCCTTGCTTTATTTTTTCATCGCTCACTTTTCAAAACGTACCAACTGCTTGAACTATATTAGCATACCTCGGTATAGATGTTGAGATGTTGAAAGAAAATTTAATAGTTTTTGTTGACTGTAAAATTATTGGAAAGTAATTATACTGTATGTCTGTAGGGGGTAACGTTTTTTAATGACTGTTTTGTATTTGAGTACAGCCAACTTTTCTCTTCCATAGATATATATAATATCACTAATGTGTATCGTTGGTCTGGTCTGTGTCCAGTCTTGGTGTGATCTCTGATGTTCGTGCTGCTGTAGAAGACAATGGACAATGTGCTGGAGGGTTTGGCCGAGCCGAGTTCCCTGTCGCCGCTCTCCACCACCGTGCACGACGAGGACTTTACCACACTCGGGGAACACACTGAGGTACGGCACTAATTTCCTTAACACTACACTCGGGGAACACACGGAGGTACGGCACTAATTTTCTTTAACACTACACGGGGGGAACACACAGAGGTATGGCACTAATTTCCTTCACATCACAGGTGTCAAATAACAAAGAAAGTGTTGGATGGGAATCCATAGGGTAAAAGATCAAGGGGAAGACCGCATGGAACCTGGAGAAAAATCACAGAAATTGATCATGTACAGAAAAGTGGGAAGACACCAGACATGGAATAACATCAAGAGGCTACCACAGAATAGAGAAAAGTGGAAATTGTTTGTTTGTGGTCTATACCCTGGTGCAGGGTGAGAAAGGCAATGATGATGATGACCGGTGTCAAGCTCAAGGCTTGTGGGCCGCATTTGGTCAGAAGAACAATTATATCGGGCTTGGGAGAGAATTTCAGATAATCCATCCTGAGAATCTCCATATATCACAGCCCCATGCACCCAAATGATATAACTTGTTGTCAAGATAAGGTCCCAAACTCTAGCTCTGATAAATTGACATGAGAGCGAAAATTTATGCCTTGATTTGTTGTTATTTTAACTTTTTAAAATCTGTTTTAATTCATGGAATATCATTGTGTGAAAAAAAGGTTTAGTTTTTGGCTGCTCAGTGAGTATTTATCCAGTAAGTTCCACAACCTTAGTGTGGTAATTAGTTTGGTACCCTGAGCAGTAGAGATTAACTCTCCTGCTTTACAGAAAGAAAATCTACCCTGTGGTTTGAAGATATACCCATAGGCCTATAAAATCAAATATAAAAACTTCATTCAATCCAACTGTATGTGAATTTGAAAATGCTAACAGACTAAACAATAGTAGCGAAATTAAATGCAGCCTGGTTCTTGTGAGTGGGGTGAAAATTTTTATGAATTTAGAATGATTTTGCTCCCTCAAGCATGCATACCCTTAAGAATAGCTTTCTTAAGTAAAGTGAATCTTGATTTAAAAAAAAAAAGAAAAGAGATTTAGGGTAACCCCATTTTATTGTGTTTTTTTTACCTCTAGGGTACTATCGAAGGAGATCATCTCAACTCTGACGGGGAGGAAGCTTTGACGGCAGCTCACGACGTCGATGATGATCATGTGACCATTGTGCCAGGTGAGGTGTCAGGAAGTTAGTTGTATTATCGAGGGGGGAGGGGGGGGGGTTGTCACAACTTTACTTTCAACTTAAGATTGGTTTGAGTATACACTATAGCACATGAGTGAAGTTGACGGGGCGTGGAAATCTTTTCGCTATGTACGTTGCGGCTTTTTTTATACAAAGAATATATATGTATATGAAAAAATTCTGGACTTTAAATCTGTTTGCAATGTGCATATAATCTTCAAGGATAAAGATGAAAAACTCTGAGGTCCATTATGTGCATGTTAAAGACACTATTGTAGGTGAAAAAGAGCAGACGTGCTCAGTTTAATATTATTATTGTCTCCTCAAAAGTGAATACAGTCTCGTCAGGAGATTCAGAAGAGCCAAACTAGCCTTTTGCTCATTGGCAAAGTTTTTGAAAAATTGTCAATTGTATGTCATGTTTTAATTCTTTCTTGTTAATGATGTAACATTCCAGATAATTATTAATTTTTTCCCCCCCTAACACAGGTGAAATAGGAGAAGTTGACGATGATCCTATTGGGCTGGGAGTGGCGGGAGGCCCCCCCTCGGAGGTGCTGCATCATGTCGGGGGCCTGGAGGGCGTGGTGGCCGACACAGTGGACAGTGGTCAGTCCCAGGGGCTAGAGGAGGTGAATACTCAGGTCAGCTGATGTGCGATGTTCTGAAAGATGTGTGCGGGGGGTTGCTTTTCTGGAAATATTAGGAATTCTTTCTTTGAGTCTGAAGTCTTCCGTTTTTATCATTTCTTGTGTCCTGAGAAGGAATATTTGCAAGTTTTGTCAAGTTAGCTATTTTCTGTTTGTAAGGTGTATGAAATAAGTGAGTTCTTTAAAGGAAAGTTTTTTTCTTTAGGCTTGAGGATGGTTTTCTCTTTTTGACAGCAAAGACGTTCATTCTTAACTTACAATGAGTATTGATACAAAAGTTTCATTTGTATAGTTGATAGATAAGGCTATCTCCTGGAAGTTCTGGGTTCTTTTCTGACTGGGAACTGAAATTCTATCATTCTTCTTGGAAATTTTTTCCCCTCTCAGCCAGGCGTCATGCTCAGGGAGAGTGTGTTCTGCCCTCAAAATGGCTTGAATTTTGTCTTGCTCAGCACAATTTGTTTGATCAAAATGTTTCTGCTTTAAAAGGATATTGTTTTCAAGCGTGATGTGTTATTAAGATTTTACAGGTTTGACAGAAAGACCAAGACCTTAAAAAGTTTTGTGCATTAGTTTAGTTTTGGATGGTTTCACAAAGCTGCCGTAAGCTGATAAAATGCCTTTTTGTTTTTTTCGTCACAGCAGTTCAGAGAAAAAGAGGTTTTTTGTCAGCATAACTATTTAAAAATCGAGTGATTCCGAAATTTGAATTTAGATTTATTTAAAAACTTGTCTGTTTTACCTTGATTTTTTTTCACTCAAGTAAGGTTACTGATCAGACTTTCGATTTAGCGAATGAAAAACTTTGCTGCCAAAATGAAAAAAAAGGTGTTTTTTCAGCTTATGGCAGAAAGGTAGTCAAGAGAATTTTTTTTTGTAGCGTTAATTTTGTTTTCACAGGTCGCGTTGGATGACCCCAACGTTCTGACCTCAGAAACCCATCTGGTGCAGGCGGCGGAGCAGGAGGGAATCCTGCTGACCACTGACGCCGACGGGAACCTGGCTGTGCCTGTCTCAGCTGACCACGTCATCCGGCTCTTCATGCAGACCTCAGACGTAAGTCAGGAACTCTTGTGCTTCCCGACTTGTGCTGTTCCAACAAAGTGGTAGTTTGCTGAACAACTACAAAATCATAAAACATTTGGGCCTCAGAGTTCTTGAGGATCTTGAAAACACATCTGTACTCGTTAAGTAAATTTTGATGTAGTGTCATAAAACTCATGTGTTCTTTCGAGTCACATTCTAGATTATGTAATGATTATGGATTTCTCTTTGGGTATGTTGTGTATAATGTGATGGTCATATGTTCTTCTGGAGGTTTTAGCGTAAATATTGTTCTTCTCTCCTGTCAGAGTGGGTGGTTGGCGGGTGCTCAAGTGTGGTTTGCTTCTTCTTTCCTACCAAACATCTATCGTCTTTATCTCCCCTCTATCTTTTTTGTGGTTGTAACTCTCTTGTAACACCTCTAATCTTCGGCAACTTATATGACCTTATTGTGTTGCAAGTGCCGTAAAACACTTACTGAAACTAAGAACTCTCCTGTCAGGGCAATGTGGTGGCTGCCGACGCCCCCATGGAAGCACTCAAGTTTTCCATGCCCGGCCTCATGACCACCTCCGAGGGAGGGGAGACCACCCAAACTGTGCAGGCGGTCACTCTCCCCGACGGGACCACCACGCTGATCGAGGCGCCTAAAGATCCCGGTGAGTCGCTCGCTCCATCGATGGGATTCTCTCCCTCCCCCCCTCCCCCACCCCCACCCCTATTTACTATTTACTATTAGGGTGAAATTACAGAGAGCAGCAAATCATATGTGTCACGGCGCGGTGGAATCAGGCGCTCGTCGATATTTGGGCAAATGGAGTTTTTGGTATCGTCTTTAAGCTTTTTTATTTGTCTTGCTTTCAATGAAAAAAATATCCATCTATCTTTAATTGAAGTCAAGATATTTTGGATTGAAGGAGGTGGAGGTCATCTGTTTTCAGAGGTAAAATAAGACAGAAAATGGCCACCAAAGTTTGGTGACGTCCAAAGCTTGAGAGCTCTTGGAAACTATAAATTAAAACTTTTTGTTCCTTTAATCAACGTTTTTCAGTAAAAGCCACTCTGAAAATTGTTTTTAAATGAACATAGAAGGTGTTGAGTCAAAAAATGAAAATTCGACAAAAATTGCCAAACAGGAAGAAAAATGCCGTTTAAAAAAAATATTTATTACTTTGACGAGCGCCTGACTTCACCACGCTGCCTCACATATTGTCGGTGTCGGACTTTACTAGTGTATCCACCAGATATGGTCCAACACTTCCTCTGACTGTATTTATGTTATTGACAACGGTATTTACTGTTGTTGATTCTGTAATCAAAGTAAAAAGAATACCCTGCACAAAATATTGAGCAATTCTGGAGAGAAAAAAAGTGTTTGACATAATTTGATGGATATCTGGTTAGAGTCTATCACTGATGGTATGAGTGAGGCTTTATGAAGTAGAAATGCTGAAACCAAGAGAGAAGCTCTCAAGCTGCACTTATTCACAAGTGGAAGTGAAGCCATTAAATGCTCAAAATGTGGCAAACTTTTATCTACCAGAATCAATCTCATTAGCCTTAGCAGAGACCAAATGTTATCTTAATTCTTATTTCTTCTATTTTGCTTAAGAAATGTTCTCCTCAACAGATTTAGTGATCAGCGTCAGTGATTGACAGATAAACTATTATTACCACTCATCTTTTTGGACAATAAACATCCTTTGTTCCCTTCGAATAAAAATATGAGTCAGAAGTAAAAAACCTAGGCTTCTGATCTGTCTCAAAGAAAGGTACAGAAGGCCATTCTTACCATCATCCATCAAACTTCGTCCATCTTAATCATCTTGTTTTAAGTACCGTATTCATATATGACCTTTGAGCTTGCATCAGAATAACATTGAGTCACAATCAGAATACTGAGTATGTATCCAGCTTAACATTATTATTGTTTATATTACTGTTCATTTATATTTTGCATGTGACTGAGCCTGCTTGTGAGTGCAAGCATACTGCGTGTGTGTGGGTGGGTGGGTGGGTATGTGCGTGCGTGTGTGTGTGTGTGTGTGTATGTGTGTATATAACGAAACACCAAACCAATGTGCCAGGATCTGGACAATAAAGATGTATCTTATCTTATCTTATCTTATCTTCTCTTATCTTATCTTATCTTTTCTTATCTTATGTGTTCAGACTGTTCATTGATTTCTTCTTCTCCTGCTGATGGACTTTTTGAATAAAATCCTTCCAGAAACTGTCCCAGAATCTCAACTGTTGCCCAAGTTTGTGGAAGGGCAGACGATCAAGCTGGAGAACGGGACCACGGCGTTGTTGCAGCCCACGCCAAGAGAAGCTTGTACGAGTCCTGTTGATGTTTTGTTTTTTCCCCGTACATGTCCTCATACATTTTGTTTCTATAGCTCTCTTAAAAGTACCGTCGAACCTGTCCAAGCCGACCATCGGAAGTGGGTGGTTTGCGGGTGCTCTGGTGTGGTTTGCTTCTTCTTTCCTATCAAACACCTATCGTCCTTATCTCCCCTTCTTCTTTTTTATGTTTGTGACTCTCTTGTAACACCTCTAATTTTCTGGCGCTCATATGACCTTATGCAGTTGCGAGTGCCGTAAAACCTCTACTAAAAAAAAACCGACCATCGAATGTTGAGGAGAAAAGTGGTAATTTTAGACAGCTGGTACATTTTCACAAGACAATAAGACAAGATATAACAGAAAATTAGAGCTTATAACTTTGCAGTCACACAGCCAGCAGTACAAAATACCCCATCTGATCACCCATCCAGGAGAGCGACTGCAACGGACTTCTCGGGCCTGGGGCACCCAGAAGTGTGCCAGATGACCGGAACGGATAATTTTCACCGTCACATTATTGCGCCAAGTGACTGCAAAGTGTTAAAGCTGTATTGCAGAAAACTTCAAATGCCTGTCTGTCTAATCTTCACCTATTACTAGATTTCCTAGATATCCTAAAAGACTTTTGAATTTTCTGTTTAGAATGTATGAGGTTAGTTAGGTGCTTTGCTGTAGCACGCTGGGGGGGGGGATCTTTACTAAATATCTCAGTCTTCCAGCTGGGACACCGTATTCCTCTCCTCCCGGGTCGGTCCTGACAGGCAGGGTCAAAGCCCACTTCCTCAATGAAATGGGAAGAGAGAGGGGGGAGGGGAGGGGGTTTGAAAAGATCACTATTTGAACCATGTTATTAATATTATTGTAAAGGTGGAATCGCACTACGTAAATGTAATTTATTATTATTATTATTAAATGATCTAAATTGTGTTAATAGGGCCATATAAAACACCCACATTTTAAAGAAAAAAGTAATGTGTTTTTCCATGTGTCTCAGTAAATGAAGGTCTGCAAGCCATCCAACTGGAAGACGGCTCCACGGCCTTCATCAGCCACCCGAACCCCGAGGGTCTCTTCGCCGCAGGCTCCTCGCAGATTGACGCGTCGAGTTTGAACCTGGACCAACTGGCTTCTCAGGTATGTTTTTGTTTACTTAAAGTAGGGGTTTTACGGCGCTCGCAACTGCATAAAGTCCTATGAGCTCGCGGAACCTAAGTTCGTTGCATTCACAACAGTTCGTTGCACGGCTAGGTTCGGGTCAACGATCTTCTTAGGTGTGGGTGTGATCGTAAATGTTCTGCTCAGGAGATTAGTTTTTTAGTTTTTGTAAGAGTTTTACGGCACTCTCAACACAGTTAGGTTATATATGAACTGAAGATGAGAGGTACATGGAAGAGAGGAATGGGAAGTATTGCTTTTTCTATTATAGTGAATTGTTCTTCTTTCAGAAGAAAGTTTGAAATGTTTTTAGATTTTGTTTTCAAGGGTGAATGGGGCATAAAAGTGAATGGCGTAGTCCATTCCAATATGAATTTTTTTTTACATTGTAGTCAAAACAGTGTTACGGAAATTTTAAAGATTTTTCTAAAGATAGGTTTTTTGCAATGCTGTCTCAAAATGGCATTATAATATGGTTTCGTCTTTTGCCGTATGAAAAATTTCTATGTACAAATTAAATAGTACAAGAAGGGGAATATGGAGGCTTTGTCTGTGAAAACAAAAAAGAAATTCACAACAAGAATTTTTTGATAAAGAGGTATACGATTAAGATTTGACCTTTTTTTTGGTTTTATTTCTGCAGACAATGATCGGAGCCGCAGACAAATCGTCGGACAAAGCCCTAGTGATCGGGGACAAGGCGTACAAGTGTCTATACGAAGACTGCGGCCGCCTCTATACCACCCACCACCACTTGAAGGTATTGAGATCACTCATGGCTAATGTTCCGCGAAAAGAGAAATGCAGGAATCCCATTTTGTCCTATATTTTTCACTAAAATGTTGTTTTCAAATTTTGTTTCTGTGAACCTTATTTTGACATTTTTCTTACAGAAAAGTGCACTTTATTCTGTTTAACCCCTTACTAGATGTGTATGTATTAACTCTCTTTTTGTTTACAAATGCAATTTTATAAAGATATATGATTTTTAAAAACGAAATTCCAGTGGCGTCCCTGGAAATTGGTATTTTAGTTTTTTAAAGTGTTAGGAATGATAAGAGGAGTTAAAATTGTTCTTCTGTATGTAATATTTTAGTATGTGCCCTTCCACTTTATCCCGCCCCACCCCACGAGCTCCGATACTGAAATAACACCCTCAAAATTCTTTGTATGTGGATAGATTTTTCAGGCACTCTTTCAGCTCATTGTTGTTGTAGAAATAGATGTCGATTTGGAGGAAACATTTACTTTTAGATAAACTATATAGAATCTAGTGTTAATAATAACCCCGTGTGGATGTGTGAAAGTAGGTGAGAAAGAAAGAGAGGGAGAGAAAAAATTGCTTTTGTTAAAATGACTATTTCTAAGGACAGCAATTCTCTCTCTCTCCCTCTTTTCGTTTTAGTGAAAAGAAGTACCTAGGGGATTTTCTAAGTGGAAACGCACTAATTAAATGACATTCATTATGATCATTAAGTCAAGCTGCGGCATAACAAGAAAAGTGTTAGATTGGAACCCACAGGGTAAAAGATCAAGGGGAAGACCACATGGAACCTGGAGAAGAGTCACGGAAATGGATGTACAGAAAAGTGGGAAAACATGGAGTGACATCAAGCGACTAGCCCAGGATAGGGAAAGGTGGAAAGTGTTTGTTCGTGGCCTATATCCTGATCCAGGGTGAGAAAGGCAATGAGGATGATTATGATCATCATAATGTACTCTGTGTTGTCCTCAGGTTCACGAAAGGTCTCACACAGGGGACCGGCCGTTCATCTGCGACTTCCCTAACTGTGGGAAAGCATTCGCCACGGGGTACGGGCTCAAGTCCCACAACCGCGTGCACACAGGGGAGAAGCCGTACCCGTGTCCGGAGAGCGGCTGCGAGAAGGCGTTCAAAACGTCGGGCGACCTTCAGAAACACGTCCGCACACACACGGGTCAGTCGATTTTACTGTTTGCTTGTGGCCCAGTGTCCTAGATTTTGTCGTTCACTTAGCTTGTGCCAGTGTTGGGGTGTGGCTGTCAGGATGATCATTTTCAGCATGTTATTTCACTCAACTTCTTTTCGATATGACGCTCAAAAATCTATTGTGACTTTGACAATATGGCCTTTATTGGCTGACTTGCTGGGGGTAAATAAAAGTCTTCTAGGAAATTTAGTTATGGGTGAAGATTAAATAGCCTGGCATTTGAAATTTTCTGCAATACAAATTTAAGCTTTAATTTTCTATGATAACTTTAGTCTTTTGAACATGTTCCAGATGTTGAGTTAAAAAAAAATTTCCACCCAATAAAAAATGAAATTGATTTGTAAAGTGGAAAAATTAATTAAAATTAAGTTTTAAATGAATGTAATCTAAGTTTAGACTGAAAAAAATTTGACATCATGTCATCGACTTGTCCAATTTCTCCACCCAGGTGAGCGCCCGTTCAAATGCCCGTTTGAAGGCTGCACCAGATCTTTCACCACGTCCAACATCCGCAAGGTCCACATCCGCACGCACACGGGGGAGCGGCCGTATATCTGTGATATGGAGGGTTGTGGGAGAGCTTTTGCCTCGGCGACCAACTACAAGAACCACATACGCATACACACAGGTCAGTTTTTTTCTTTGTGTGAGCTTGTGAGAGTGAATTTGTCTCAAGAATTAGATATAATTTTTCTTTTTCAGACCTTATGCAGTTGCGAGCGCAGTAAAACCTATACTAAAACTAAACTTTCCTTTTTATGTGTATAAATCTTTGTGTGTGAGAGACAGTGAATTTGTCTCAAGAATTAAATATAACTTTTCTTTTTCTAGTGTGTGTGTGTGAGAGGTAGAGAGAGTGAATGTGTTTGAAGAAATTATTTTTCCCTGCCGTGTTTGTGTGTATGTGTGTGTCATTCTACTGTTTTTCTTTCTCTCCATTGTTCCCGTCTGCCTTTCTTTTTCTCTGCGATGTGCCTCTCATTACTCCAACAAACAAGCACCAGACGACACCATTGATCTTCTGTCGTACTTTTTTTAGAACAAATAATCTTTTCTTTTTAGAGACTGTTTTGTCATTTCCTCAGAGAAGTTTTGCGTTTGGGATGTCGAAATTTGCTGCCTTATTCTTTGTGAACGAAATTTTGTTATCCTTTCATGGAATCATGTACGGTACATGAATGTAACGAGTGCAGTTCTGCATTAGTGCTGAATCTTTGTATGTTGACGCTGCGGTATTTTCACCCTTGTCGATTAATATGTTTATTTTCTCATCTCACCTCACCTCACCTCTTCCTACCCTACCCCACCCTACCCCACCCTACTTTACCCTACCCTACCCTACCCTACCCTACCCTACCTTACCTTACCTTACCTTACCTCACCTCACCTCACCTCACCTCACCTCTTCCTACCCTACCCCACCCTACCCTATCCTACCCTACCCTACCCTACCCTACCCTACCCTACCCTACCTTACCTTACCTCACCTCACCTCACCTCACCTCACCTCACCTCACCTCACCTCACCTCACCTCACCTCACCTCACCTCACCTCACCTCACCTCACCTTACTTTGTAAAACTGACTCATGTTCTCTTCCCCCCAGGTGAGAAGCCGTACGTGTGTACGGTGCAGGACTGCGGGAAGCGGTTCACAGAATACAGCAGCCTGTACAAGCACCACGTCGTACACACGCACACCAAGCCGTACACGTGTTCCCACTGCGGCAAGACGTACAGACAGACCAGCACGCTGGCCATGCACAAACGCACGGCGCACGGAGAGGACTATCCTCAGGAGCTGGCTGGAGACGGGGGTAGGCACGATTTGATTGGCAGCTCCTTTTTTAACTTAATTTTTGCGTTTTAGTTGTACATACAGACTGGAGTCTGCTTAATTCTTTAAACCTGATCAGTCGCTCCCAGTGGCCAGTGTAAGTGCACAGATTCTTCGGGGGGCTCTCGTAGCCTAGAGGTTAAGGTCTTTGCCTCTCTTTCAAAGGTCCCAGGTTCGAATCCAGTTAGCGACGGAAAATTTTCTTCTATCAAATTTTCTCCTTTCACATCCTTAACTTTTCCTGTCATCTGCCCCCACCCCCTCACCTCCTTTGCCCCTTCCTCTGGGCTCTTGACTCTTTCTGCAGCCTTTCTACTGCTACTCCTTGGCTCCTTCTTACTGCTGTCTTTCAGCCACAACCTCTGATCTTCTGGTAGGAAAGATCTACACCTAGCTTTCTCGGACATGGGCAAAATATCTTGGAGGTCCCATGGGCAAGTTGCACACGTTAAAGATCTCTTTGCGGTCCAAAATCGATTAGAGTAGGCTTCGGCCGCCACTCGGGCAAAATTTAAAATTTCCTACCTCCTGAAAATGTTAAATGTGTCCCGCACGCTCATATGACCTTACGCAATTGCGAGTGTCGTAATATACTTATAAAAAAGGTTATGCAATGATTTTAGCTATGCCAAAACGTACTCAACTTCAATGACCTTGTTTGACCTTCCAGCTGAGATGGCCATCTGTGTGACTAACCCCGAGTCGGCAGAGCCCCCGACCAAGAAGAGAATGATCAAGTCGGAGCTGCCGCAGTCAGGGGAGACGAGTGCGGGCGAGAATCTCATAGTCAACTCCACCGACGGCTCTCAGGTGAGACGTTTCTCCTTGTCTCTGTGTAGTGAGGGGTCACAGGTGAGACGTTTCTCCTTGTCTCTGTGTAGTGAGGGGTCACAGGTGAGACGTTTCTCCTTGTCTCTGTGTAGTGAGGGGTCACAGGTGAGACGTTTCTCCTTGTCTCTGTGTAGTGAGGGGTCACAGGTGAGACGTTTCTCCTTGTCTCTGTGTAGTGAGGGGTCACAGGTGAGACGTTTCTCTTTGTCTCTGTGTAGTGAGGGGTCACAGGTGAGACGTTTCTCCTTGTCTCTGTGTAGTGAGGGGTCACAGGTGAGACGTTTCTCTTTGTCTCTGTGTAGTGAGGGGTCACAGGTGAGACGTTTCTCCTTGTCTCTGTGTAGTGAGGGGTCACAGGTGAGACGTTTCTCTTTGTCTCTGTGTAGTGAGGGGTCACAGGTGAGACGTTTCTCCTTGTCTCTGTGTAGTGTTTTGCTGCTTGCCTTAAAAAAAAAAGGTATTTATATGTTTACTGCTTGTGTGTATAAATGCTTTCTTATTGCCAAGTTTAGTCATTCTCAACTCGTCCCTCTATCTATACGCGGGTGGTTAGCGAGTGCTCTGGTATGGCTTGCTCTGTAACACCTCTAATCTTTGGCACTTATATTACCTTAGTGTGTTGCAAGTATTGTAAAACTCTTACCAAATCCAAAAAAACATCTCACTATCTGTTTTGTCAGTCTGTTAGATCGGTTTTTTTTTCTTGCGAGATCTTTTACCATATCTTTCACAAGTCTAAGTAGGTGGGTGGGTAGGTGGTTGGCAGGTGGTCTGGTGTGGTTTGCACTTTTTTTCCTATCAAACATCCTTCATACTCATTTTTCCTCCTTCTTTCCTTTTATTGTGACTCTCTAGTAATGCCTCAAGTCTACGGCGCATACATAACCTATTTGCTTTACAAGTGTCTTAAACCTTATTACTCCCCACCAGGGCAGTGCTTGTGACTGAAGTTGTCTTTAGGCCATTCCCAAATGGAGGATATTAACATGTTCTTATGCACAGTACAAACAATCGTAAATGGGCTGATTTATCAATGTCATGCTCATACTGTGCCGAACCAACAAAGGGGGAAGTTCTGCTTTTTCTTTCCTCCTCCTTACTATCGTCATTTTCCCTTTACTTCTTTTGTATGTTTATCACTCTCTTGTGACCCGCTATTTCCGGGGTGCCTTGATAGTCGAAGCAGACTTTGTGCTGTTGAGGCTAAAGGGGTGAGAAAAGTAAGCCTGATTCCCCGTTTGGACTTCTGCTGACATCCACCCCTTGGCGCTCATATGACCTTATACAGTTGCGAGCACCGTAAATAAAACTTTACTAAAACAAACCTTATCAAAACAAACTAAAAACCCCTCTCCATCTGACTATCCCCCAGCAGATGGTGCTTCTGGCGTCGCAGATGAACAGCTCGGAGGCGGTGGTCACTCTGGCCGACGGCACGGCCCAGCTGGCCAACCTGGTAGCTCTGCAGTCGCCAGGCACCATCAGCATGCAGGAGCTGCAACAGAGCGGGGTGGCCGGGTTCACAAGTCTGTCGCTGGGCGAGGCCGGGCAGCAAGTCCTGGTGGTCACCGATCCCTCACAGCTCGAGGCGTTACAGGTGAGTCTCTCCGACGTAGAGCTGTCGAATACTCCGATAAAATCAGAACCCTTTGTTTAACACTTTTCCGCCTCATCTCGCCGATCGGCGACGTCTACCACCCAGTTTCTTTGGATTTTCCCCCAAAATGCCTTTGCCTTTGATGGCAAGAGTTTTTACTATATGAGCCTTGTGATGGCAAAGTGTTAAAAAAATTGTTTGGTGCTCGTTGAAGAACCCCATTTGCTGTTGTTGTTGTTGTTGTTGTTTTCAAATCCCTTTAGCTGCGAGCATTTCGCTCTTGGCAGCGCAATGCCTCCCTCAAGTAACCACATGTCCTTGTCATCTGGTCAACGCCAGAATAGAGCAGGCTTTGTAAGTCTGTAGGTGTGTGTAGGAGCCTGCGTCGAAGAACTGCCAGGTTTGGGCAGTGAAAGAGAAGATGTTCAACGGTCTCCTCGTGGTAGTCACAGTGTCTGCAATGGGGTTCCCACATGGGGTTAATTTTGTTTATGTGCTTGTTGGTGTGTAAGTGTCCTGTGCGGGCTCTGAAGATCAATGTCTGATCGGCTCTACATAAAAGATTCGAAGGGTCTTTGGGGTTGGGTTTGTCCATGTACCCGAAGAGAGATCTTCCTGTTTCTGCGTTGGCCCATCTGTTTAGCCACTCGTCTCTGCTTTTGGCTTGGATGATCTCTCTGCAGGCCTGTAAAGAGGCGGTTGTGTCTGTCTAGGGCAGGCTCGCTCCAGTCTTCGATAGATGGTCCGCAGTCTCATTCTCTGGTACTCCAGAATGGCCAGGCACCCACTGCAGTGCAACCCGGACGCCTTAGGAAGTGCCCGTCTGTTTTACAAGAACCCCATTTGCTAAAAATTTTATTTTTTCCCCTTAAATTCCGTTTTCATTTGCACTTTTTATGACCTCATTGTGTTGCAAATGCCGTAAAACTTTTTATTAGATCTATCTGTCCAGAGTCAGGCTGTGCAGTGTACTGTTGCGAATAGAACCAACCTTTTTTTCCGCGTGCTCATATGACCTTATGCAGTTGTGAGCGCCATAAAACTCCTACTAAACTAAAGTAAACCTATAACCCAAGATGACATGACTCGATTTTAAATTCTTGTGTGGGTTTGGTTTTTTTCGTTCCTGTTCCCAGCAACTGGCCACTCAGGCTCATACTGTGTCGGAGCAACATAAGGGGAACTGTTGCTTTTTCTTTCCTCATACTTACTATCGTCATTTTTCCTCTACTTCTTTTGTATGTTTGTCACTCTCTTGTGAACTGCTATTTCCGGGGTGCCTTGATTGATAGTCGAAGCAGACTTTGTGCTGTTGAGGCTAGAGAGGTGAGCAGAGTAAGCCTGATTCCCTGTTTGGACTTCTCTGTTGACATCCACCCCTTCTCTCTCTCTTCTGGCACTGTGGCGTCATTAACGGTCAGCGATGCCGACAGCATGCAGGAACTCAACAGTTGCTCGGGGGTCCTTGAAGAGTGCTGAAAGTGGGTCACTGAAATGTCCCAGCTCATCCACCCCTTGGCGCTCATACGGTCTTATGTAGTTGCGAGCGTCGTAAAACCTTGCCAAAACAAAACAAACAACTCTTTTTAAAATTCTTGTGTGGTTTTTTTTCTTTTTTTTTCGTCCCGTTCCCAGCAATTGGCGGCTCAGCACCTGGAGACGTTGACACATGTGCCAGACGGGACGTCGGTGGAGGCTGCCAGCGGTGACGACGGGGCGGGGCCAGAGGGCGGGGGGAACGTCAGCATTCCGACAGAAGCTATCGCAGTGACCACCACCTCGTTGAGCCAGTGAGAGGGATGGATGGACGCGCGCGCTCCTCCTACCTTATTGCTAAATAAGTCTGTATAAGTCTTGCGGTCGTTTGGAATGAGGCTTGCACTACTGTGAATAAAGGTGTACAGTCTCCCCTCTCCCCCCCCTCCCCTCCCCCCTCCCAAGCTCTACACTCACACACTTTAATACTCTCTCTCACTCTCTCTTTCTCTCTCTCTCTCTCTCTCTCTCTGGTGTTCTCTCTCTGGTGTTCTCTCTCTTTCTCTCTCTCTCTCTCTCTCTCTCTTTCTCTCTTTCTCTCTCTCTCTTCTCTCTCTTTCTTTCTTTCTTTCTCTCTGTCTCTTTCTCTCTTTCTTTCTCTCTCTCTCTATGTCTCTCTTTCTCTCTCTCTCTCTTTCTCTCTCTCTCTCTCACATACTCACACACATACACACACACACACACACACACGTATGTGTCATTTCAATGACTTATCTTGCCTTAGCTAACCCGCTATAGTTTGTTCACTTTCGTCTGTTTAGCATTTAAAGAGTTCTGGCTCTTTGATTCATTTGCCTGTGTGCATTTTACTTTGTATGGCACTTCTGTAAACCAGTGACCAAATGAAAATTTGTTTTTAAAAAAAGTCTTGATCCAGTAATGAAAAAGTTTCTTTATTTGGAGACCCGATTTTAAACACTTCCCTGTGTGTGCATAGACAGGATCACGACAATAAATGATTTACAATAAACATGCCTACAAATTGCTCATTTAGAAACCAACGATGCTATCTTGCCCCCACATTTCAGTGTAAGCGTGTAGATTTCTTCTCAAGATCATCTCGAGGGCAGCCAAGTAAACTATGATAAGTTTTTTTTCAAAATTTACAAGAGATACAAAAAACAGATTTTCTTGAAGCGTTGTTTTGGGTTAATGAACTTCATTTTCATAAGGGAGCCTCCGAGTGCCATGACAGACATTAGGCTCCCTTAGGAAAAAGAAGTTCGTCCACCCGTTCCCAGCAACTGGCGGCATTTTCGCTTCCAAGTAAATCCGTTTTTTTGTCTCTCCTGTAAAATTGGGAAAACCTGACTTACCATAGTTTACTTGCCTGCCCTCCATCTAAACGTCTCCGCATGAGTCTCGAAAAGTGCTCACTTTTCTGTTGGATCGTGTTTCGTTGACGTGTGTTTGAGCGCGGTGTTGATAGAAATGGATAAACGTTTTGATGTTTTAGGTGTCCGTCGTAAATTCCCTACTATTTTTTTTTTAACCCGCTTTAGACCAACAACATCAAAGAAAGCGTGTCGGAACTTTAGTTTGCAGTGACCTATATTAATGGACATTTTAGATTCTGTTGGTCATCCAAGTTTTAGACTCGCGTGCAAAGACCAAAGAAAATCAAAAAGGATGATTTCTTTTTAAACTTTTTTTAAAACTACGGACAGACGAAAATGAACAAGCTATCACATCCTGCTCCTTCTCTGAATGAAAAAATCCTGTCTGTTGTACCGAAGAGATTTGAAGTTCTCTAGGATTCAAAACCAAGAACAGTGTACTTGGAAACAGAATGGTGTAATCTATATATAGATATACATGATATATACCGGTATATATGATCTCTTTTAAGAACAAGGAGGCTATCCTGAAAAATGCTGCTTTGAGAAAATCGAAGGTAAAGTTTTTGCCCCATGTTCATTTTCTTTAAAAGACAAGGAGAGTTTTCTCTATAACCAAACAAATATACACACTAATGAAACCAAACTTCTCCTATAGATAGGGCAATGCCCACTTTTGGTGTAGGTCAAGATTTCTGGAAACCCCCGAAATCTAGGTTAGCCTGCTTGTCCTTAAAAACGACCATATATATATATGTAGATGCAAAGATACTTGTCTTGGGTTGAAACTACTTTTCTTCTTCAGTTCTCTTTAGAAGTACGTTTGATTTCGTTCTAGAACTTACATTTTGTATGTTCTTGTGTATCCTCGAGGCTCAGCGTTGTAGAATTCTCCGAGGAGGAGGTCAGAAACCTTGTTTATGTCGACAATCAGCTAAACAGGGTGCTTATTGAAAGCTTGGAAGCACGACACAAAATTTGGAGACCTGTAAACTTCTCAGCCATTTCAACATAATTTAGCTTGCCTTGCCAGTCATATTATGGGACATAATTACGCTATATACTCGCTTATACCATGACCTTACGTAGAAATACAGGGGGTATACGCTGACTCAAAAAATTGGACCAGTTTTGTAAACTGTGTGTATAATACGGGGTGAATTTCTGACATGCTGCGGTGGGGGGGGGGGGGGGGGGAGTCCCGACATATGTGAAATCGAGTACTTGCCTGGAATCAAATCAAATAATGTAATCTCTGAAAATGAAGTTTACAAAATGTTGGTTATTGCATTGGGACTGATATCATCTGTTAGAAGTGTTAGGGTGGTGTGGAATTACATCCCTTTTGTGGGGGGGTGTATACTTTTGGACTTATTTTTTTCAAAAGTGGCTCATATTACGGGGCAGTATTTGTGGTACTTCCACCATGGCTGGACGTTAAATATCGTTGCTGTCTTAACAGAAAGAGTAACTCCAAACCACTTACCTGAAGATGAATAAAATAATTTTGAGTTTAAAAAATACTTTTGTTTTGACAGCGGCGCTATGTGATGGTTGAAGGTCGTAGTGTACTCTGATTGTTTCCTGCTTTCCTTATTATAAATATTTCTATTTTATTTCTCTTCTGACACCCCCCTAAGCTTTTACGCTGACTGCTAGAAAAGATTAAGAAGAAAAAATTGATTTGATTTTATTCTAATTTCGATATTTAGGCCTGATCTCATTCCATAGCATTTTGCGGATCAAAATCAAACCAAATTCCAGTGCTGGTATGAAGTAGCTTGCCATGGCTTTTTCCAGCTTAAAAAGGACGCAACACATCATTTCATGTACAAATGGAAGTAGAGAACAATTTCTTTGTGAATGCTGGAGTAACACGAATGTATCTGGTTCCCATGCTTGACCCTGCTGTTCTGTTTCAGTTGCTAAAGTGATGCAATAGGTGGGAAAGTATGTTTTCCCTGAAAATGTTCACAACACGCAAACCTTACAATTGTCATCAAAATTAATGTTGGGATTGTCATACATATATATGTGAGGCGTGCTGACAAAATGAGTTATTTCTAGCAAGCCAAGAATGGAGATATTGGCCGAACACAGACACTGGGGGCAGATTTAAATTAATTTTTTAATATTTTCAATTGGTGCCATTTTGTTCAAATCTACCGTGCATTTTATTATTCCATACTTACAAATTGTACAAATTCCGCTTATAAAGAGTTGATGTATCAATTTCTATAAAAGTCTAAAATCCGAAAAGTACCGTAGCTCATTTTGTCAGTGCATCTCACATAAACAGTCTAGTGTGCACATAGTGAAATTGGCGAGACATGGAAATCTTTTTATGAGAAACAAATTTGGGATCTGAAAATCTGTTCACTGTGTGTTTGTTTTAAAAAAAAATGTTCCAACAACTTGGTGATCTTGTCTTTGAGAGTACAGTCTAGCTTGCACATAGCAGGACTCCGAGATCTTTCTTGTGTGTGTTTTGCTGTGCATGTTCGCTACAGATATCTAATCATGCTAGACTGTATTTCCCTTTGTGAGCTATCTTTTGGGGGTTTTTTTTCTAAATTTTCTCTCTTCCTATGAGTTCTTTTTGTTTTAGTAATGAATTCTTTTTGTTTTAGTAATGAATTCTTTTTGTTTTAGTAATGAATTCTTTTTGTTTTAGTCGGGATGTTGTTGATGCTAGTTTGAGCCCCCGAACGGGGACATTTTTTGGATGTAGTTAAGTAAGGTTTAAAAAAAAAAGTTTTCACGGTTGTTGAAGACGGATGTTTCATTCGACGGTCTGATTTTTTGTACTTTGTTATACTGTTGAAAGTGATGTTGACAGTTGAGCCAATAAAATACCATATGTCCGTACCTTGTGGAAATAGGATGTCACATG